GGGGGGGGATTTCACTTCCTGTGTGTTTCTAGGGGGACTTGGTCACTCGCTGGTGTTAATGTTTTTTTCCTCCCCTGACCCTCACAGAGTGCGGCTGGGGGGGTCATTATGTAATCACACTTATTATTTTGCACTCGGGCTTCCGCTGATGATAGCAGCATTATGATGCTGATTATTGCTTCTCCAAATGGCTGCTCCACGTTCGTCCATTTCTTGGGGCGCCGTTTAACCGTCATTGGTGCACATGGCTGGGGGGGCAGTGTATGAGATTTTCTCCTCCCGTCTGTGCCCCCCCCCCCCAGTCACCCTCACCCATTTTGGCCATTGTCACGGTTAATTACAGCAATAATTACACCCCCCCCTCCCATTTGTGGCCCCTCTTTAGTTCTTTACTGGTTTCTTCCTGACACTAAAGGCTTCAATTAAAGCCCCCCCCTGCCATGGTGAATGGGGGCCCGGCAGGTCATTAGCGGCCAATTAGCGGTGTGAGGGGAGGGTCGTGATACCCGTCAGCGGCGACAGTCCGTCGAGTGGCTCGTCCGCTTTACATTTCTTCGTTTGTCGGAGGAATTACGGCGCCGCGGGGAGCCGTGCAATTCCGATCTGTAACCAGGCAACTACACGGCGGCCGTGCGCTAAAATTAGGGGCTGAGTCGCGTCATGGAAAAAAACACGCTTACAAAAATATAGGCGTTCAGCCTTAAGGGCGGTACAGAGGTACGACCGCAGCTTTGCCTTTCCCGCGGACGGGGGCGGAGCTTGCTGTGCATCTGCGAAGTCTATCAAAGGCGAGATTTTTGCCCACCGAAAGACCGTCTCAGTGTGGTCTGCGTAGGTGCTTTTGAAGGACGCTGTCTGGGGTTCTGCTCTCCTGCTGGATCTAAACTCGAGGGCAAATCCGAGGGGCTCCAGAGTGTCCGAGGGGCTGGAATGATGGACCCCGCTGGCCTATGCGGGCAAATCGCTCTTTTGTCTGGGCCTGACTGCAAAAATCAATGGCCACTGACAGGCTGGCGTGACAATGGGCTTTGGTCCTGCTCGCCCCAGCAGCCATCGATCGCCTCGCCGGGGACCCCAGTCCCGTTCTGGGCCGCCGACCGCTCTGACCTTTCGGTGGCCCGTTTCAGAGAAGGGGCAGGATCATGAAGCCTCATGTGGCCACTGTTGTTATTTAAGTTTACCCTCCTGCAGCTGCAGTAAATGTGAAATGCTCTCGCTGTCCCGGAACCAGCGAGAGACCGAAAGGTTGTGGGTTCAGATCCCTGAAGAGAGGACTTGAGCCTGGTGTAATTTCCCCTGGTCCTGTTTACACATGCTGTGCTAAAGGCTAAGGGTGTGCATTTAACACCTGTGTGAATTACATAGAGGCTAATTAAGTAATCAGTGTAGGGCTTTGGATTGGAAGCCTTTTGGAGCCCATAGACCCCCCACCCCAGCAGGCTGATTGGGGCTGGGTTGGCCTCATTCTCAGCTCCTCAGGTCATTTGCTGTCTGGGGGGGCCTGCATCGTTCATGGAGTTAATTAAGGAGCAGCTCTCGTTAAACTTCCATCGCAAATTTGAATAATTGTAGTGTCTGGGAACGGCCTTATAAATATTTACAGATAAACTGCTTTGGATAATGTATGTATAAGATGCGTGAGAATCATCAGCGACTGCAAAGGGTTTTGCAGTCTGAAGGTTATCGCTGGAAATCAGACCTGTGTCATCATGGGAAACCGGGGTAAATGTGATAGTCATCCGTCAGGCGCCTAATGCTGCATAACTAACCATTTTGCTCCTGGGGTGTAAACACTAAACCAGTAACTAGGAAATGACTCTGGGAGGAACTGCAGTGTCTGGTCAGGGGTGCTGATAGAGATTTCGGCCCCATGAAATCGTATCCTTTGGGGCCCCTTCAATCCAGGAAGGTGATCTGTTGGCGTGAGACTGAGGCAGTGAGGAAGGAGGCCTAACTCAGTCAGATGCGTTTATGTAAATGTCTGTGTGTGTGTGTGTGTGTGTGTGTGTCTGTGTGTCTGTGTGTGTGTGTGTGTGTGTGTGTGTGTGTGTGTGAGATGTAAGCAAGCGACTCGCAGGCTGGATATCGATCAGGTCCAGCACGTCAGGCTCTGTTGCGCAGCTGGAGCGACTGCATCGGTTGGATAAACCTGAGACGAAGTGATGCTGTCGCCGGACCTGTGGACCGATTTGCCCCCCCTCGCTTCTGCCCTCCCAGTCCCCTGTGTATTCTTTGTCGTGGTCGGCGTTTGGGCCAGTGGAGTGTTCTGGAAGCAGTGGCCTGGCCCCCTTCAGCGGCAACACCGCCAGTGACAGATCTTTGTGGATCTTAGAGTAACAGCGTATCAGAACCGCTGTAGGGGCGGGGGGCACTGAACCTCTGCACATGGGGGGTGATGGGGGGGCGCTGAACCTCTGCACATGGGGGGTCATGGGGAGTGATGGGGGGGACGCTCAACCTCTGCACATGGGGGGTGATGGAGGGGGGGGAATGACCGCCTGCCATTATGGGGGGATGAAAATCACTCCGATGACAGACAGTGCTCAGTGGCCATTATAGCTGATAAAGGTCACGTTAATTAGGGTCAAGAAGCGCGGATCTGAGCCTTTGAACTCATTTAAAATGATATATTGCTTGTAAATGTGTCATTTCTCTCCTTTGGGCTCAGTATGGCTCCATCGTTATGTAACATCACAAAGCTTCTGAGCAGCTCAGAGCGAGACCCATGCCAGTCAGATGCCAGCAGCTTCCTGCAGTAGACCCCGTCGCGCTCTGCCTCACCCAGAACCAGAATTTTTGGGTCACTTCGTCAGATGCTACTGTTGAAATATTTCCCTGTCTTTTATATTGCATAAGAGTGCAGACTTTTTTAGGATTTGAACCTGCAGCTGTTCCATCAAGTTCAGCATCATAATAAGTTGGGTGACACCAGTCCGCTGGGGGGGAAGGATCCAAACCAGGGAATACCGGTCGGGACGGACACGCCCAGGATAATTCATTTCCTCGCAGCAAAGAGCAGATGGGAGCAGATGGGAGCGAGATGCACAGCTACAGAGTCAGATCCTGTATCCTGTTGTTTTCTCTGTTGTCTCCTGTATGCCCCCCCGCCCCCCCCCATGGGAGTCCTCACACCAGAGAGGTGCCCCTCCAACCCCATTTTGTCCATCTTCCTCCCCTGGAGTCTGCCTTGACCTCCACCTCATGTGCACTGGCAGTTGTGGCCAGAGAAGATGGTCTTTAGAAAGGACCCAACTCGGCCTCCCTGGTTCTCCTGCTTGGAGTGAATATATGACACCGGTTCTGGTGCCAATAAAAGGGATTCAGATTTGTAAGGGTCTCTGATGACTGTAGCCCCCGAGAGGCGCCTCAGATAAACTTCCTTGCCTTTGACCCCTCAGTACCACCCCAATGAATCAGCCAATCACAGTAGGTTCCAGAAGGAGCATTAATTAAGGGGAAATGACATCACAAGAGCAAGCTCCTCCCTCATTCACAGTGGAGGTCTGGCTCTGGGAACTCATTAAATATTAAGCTCCCCTTTTTTCCATGGGCTTTCTGTTACACAACAAAGTTGACAAATGTCTTCAGAGAGTGATACATTTTTAATATCTTGTCTTTTTTTCTGCACTTCTGAACCACATGGAGGTTGTCAGCTTTTTAATCTCTGATATCTGACACAGTTTTTCTGGGGAATAAATAGTTGTAAACAGAAGCTTGTGAGGTTACCCACAATCCTGTGCAGGGCAGGTGTTGGTGAACGTGCGCCTGCTGATGTGGTCCAATCCCGCTCGGCCTTTACAGACTAACACAGCCACAGGCTGGGTACTCGCTTTCCAGCACAGGCTGGGTACTCGCTTTCCAGCACAGGCTGGGTACTCACTTTCCAGCACAGGCTGGGTACTCACTTTCCAGCACTGAAGTGAAGCTCAGCACTTTATTGAGGTTACAAAGTATTGTGAAACTGCTGAAAAAAATAGAAACTTTAAATATTCAAGTAAATGGAAAGAAATGCTGCTCATTTTAAATAGATAGTCTGGTTGTGCATATTTTATGAGAGTTTGGATATATGAGTGAGTGTCTGTGATCTGTGCGTGTGGGTGTGTGTGATATGCGTACATACAACCACTGTCTGCCAGGACTGATAAGTGTCATTGATGTCATCCACCTCTAGGAGGCGCCCAAATGGTGTCAGGAATCCTCTTATCCTATTACATGCCCAGTGGGACCATTGGTCAGGGCAGCCACCCTTCCTCCATACCCCCTCAAAGGAAGTGGCATTAATGCATGAGATGAAGGTGAGTGATCACAGGGGGGGCATTAATGAAATGGCGCCCAGTGTGCAAATCGAACCCGGCCATGCCTGGGACCTCACCTCATTTCTTGCTTCCTGGGTGACATTGAGACCCCTCCCAGCACTGTTTAAGGCCACCTCGTAGACACCATATGTCCAGGATTGTGTGTCTGTCCAAAGGGCCTCTTCAGTCCAAAGATGGAAGAAAGCTTCTCACGTACACAGGCATTCACACGCATATGCCCAAGTCATGTCTTCTGATTCATGTTGTTCATCCATGTGCCAGTTACCTAGAGAAACATCTTCCTCTGTCAGTTCCTCCATCCTGCTTTTCACAGTCTAATGACTCGCCTGCATCTACCACAGATTGAGCCACTTGGCTAATTTGTCACGCCACGGGTGACAGGATCACGTTCGGCTGAGTGCCACGGCAGCCGAGAGGTCGCGTCGAGTGGGATGTGGTGAATCGCCTTTGATTACGCACTCTTCAGTTCTCCTTGTTTATCACTTTGTCATCATGTGATTCTGCCACAGTTCTTCTGTGGTCAGGCAGTGCCTGGCCACACCGGCAAATCTCTCTCTAGTTATATGTTGGGCTTACAGTCGGAAATAAAACCAGTCTCTCTGTGACTGAATGGATTCCTCCGGGTTCAGTGCATTCCTTGAGGTTCGGTGTATTTCTCAGGATTCGGTGCCTTCCTTGGTGTTGTGTATGTTCCTAGGGATTTGGAGCATTCCTTAGAATTCTGTGCCTTTCTTGGAGTTCGGTGTTTTCCTTGAGGTTCAGTGCCTTCCTCTGTGTGTTCCTCTGGGGTTGATGTGCTCCTTGGGGTTGGTGTGCTCCTCTGGGGTTGGTGTGCTCCTCGGGGTTGGTGTGCTCCTTGGGCTTGGTGCGCTCCTCAGGATTCAGTGCCTTCCTTGGTGCTTGGCGCATAGCTTTGCTTTTGATGCATTCCTCAGGGTTTGGTGCCTTCCTTTGGGCTTTGGGTGTTCCTTGCGGCTTGGTGCCTTCCTTGGGGTTCGATGCATTCCTCAGAATTTGGAGTGTCCCTCAGGATTCAGTGCCTTCCTCGGGGTTTGGTGTGTTCTTCAATTTCAGTTCATCACCTTGTTCCATAGCCTAGATGTCAGAGAGTGGGATGGATATCTGAAAGACAGATGACAGGTAAAAGAGATTCTGAGAAATCAATCCCTGTTATGAGACTGGTTTCACCGGGGGGGGGGGGGTTAGAATGAGACCTGAAAGGTCAGCACACCATCACTGTGCCCCCCCGACTGCATGTCTCCTACTGCTTTCACTGTTATTCAGCTTTTCATGATCTTAAAATACTCAGAATTCAATGCATCTGGGCCTTTGGCTGTCCTGTGGCTTTTTTGTTTGGTATTGAAAATTTTTAACCATTCAAAGATGCACAGTAAAAGCTTAGAATCATTCCCAGCCATGTGTTAGTCTCCCACCTGTGACTGTATGCATGTTGATTCTCACCTGCCTGTGACTGTATGCACGCTAAGTCTCTCCTGTGTGTGATTATATGCATGCTAACACTCTCTCACCTGTGACTGTATGCATGTTGATTCTCTCCGAACTGTGACTGTATGCACTTTGAGTCTCTCCCGTTTGTGATTGCATGCACGCTAAGTTTCTCCTGCTTGTGACAGTATGCACGCTGAGTCTCTCCAGCTTGTGACTGTATGCATGCTGAGTCACTCCTGCTTGTGACTGTATGCACTCTGAGTCACTCCTGCTTGTGACTGCATGCACGCTGAGTCACTCCTGCTTGTGACTCCATGCACGCTGAGTCTCTCCTGCCTGTGACTCCATGCACGCTGAGTCTCTCCTGCCTGTGACTCCATGCACGCTGAGTCTCTCCTGCCTGTGACTCCATGCACGCTGAGTCTCTGTGTGTTGCTTGAAAGTTTCTTGACAGTTTACATTCTTTTTCCTTACACACTGTTCCCTTGGTGGCTGATGCATGCAGCATGGTGCATGTCCCTTTACACACACAGACTTTTACCTGGAATGATGTAGCAAAACACAGATTTCTGGGAGTGATCCTCTGCCCCGGAGGTGGGGGAGATGGTAATAGCAGTCTTGCAGCTGGTGGTTCTCCCACGCCAGGGTGGGGGGGCATGGTGTCTGCCAAGGAGGGCTGGCCTCTGGAGCACGATAAGAAGCTATAGATCCGCATTAGTGACCTTCCGCCTCTCTTCTGCGAGGCAGAAGGTATGGTGAGCCCCAGCAGCTCAGACATGGGTTCAAATTGCAGCAATTTTAAACCGGCCAGCTTGTCCAGTTCACGCTGCCTATGCGACTGTACCTTCTGCCATAATTACAGATGTACAATATTTCAACCAGCCAATCAGAAAAAGGGGCAATCTGACAGTCAGCCAACCAGAGAGGTAGATATTATACAGTGGGCTTCCCCAAACTCTCAGAAGAGCACTGTTTGTCCAGTGCATGAAACATGGTGTCATTGTCTCAGTGATAATCACCCTGAAAGTGTTTTAAAATGAGGCTGTAACGAGGGGGAGACGGCATTGAAGGAAAGAGGAAAATGTTCGTGATCAATCTGTTCTGTACAGAGAGTAAGGTGGGCCCTGCTGGGGCTTCGAGCATTGCAGGGACCAATCGATACCCAGCAGGATTCTGGCCGGGTTTGGGCCTCTCCACTGTCTTCTGGGCTTGGGCCTGAGCCGGCGGATCAGGCATTTAACCTGAATTGCCTCTGTAAATAAAAATCAATACAAATAAGTAAAAAAGGTCTCTGTAGATTAAACATCTGCTATCCATCATCCATCCATCCATTGTCCTGCATCTGTTTATGAAGCAGAAGGCCACGAGGGGCCTGGATCCTGTCCCAGGTGGCTTCAGGAAGAAGGCGGAGGGTCCCTCTGGATGGGATGGCGGTCCATCACAGGGGCACGCAGCAATGTTGAGTCAGATAGCTGAATGCCTTAGGAGCCGAATGCAGTGTCTGGAGGAAATCATTGCAATTGGGGTTAGAACATACAACTTCCAAACACGCAGCCCAACCCTGTGAGTGTGAGACAACAGTGATACCCGCTATTATATACAATTTCGCTATTATTGTTAAATACTACTACTTAATGGTACTTTAATGTTAGTTTTGTTTTTATTTGTCTGCCCCCCCCCCTGCCCCCCATCACAGATTTCTCACCCACCCTCAGCCTCCTCCTACCCCTGTTTATTTCTGAGACAATAACGTGGGGGAGTCGGACTGGCTGATGCAAGGCGCCTGCTGTGTTTTCTGCAGCTTTGGGAAACTGGATCAGATGGATAGTGCAGGGGGCGGAGTCTATTACTGTGGGCGGGGGTCTGGGATGGAATGCGGGACCTGCTGGACGTGGGGTCTGGGATGGGGGCGTTGATTCTGTGATTAAAGTTTAGCATGTTTTATAATATTTTATGAAATTATATATAATTATACACAGGTTGGTAGAAAAAAAACAGAGCTCATTTTCAGCGTGAACATGCTTTGAACTCCTAAACCGCGGAGGGGTTTGCATCAGCTGTTTGCACCAAAACATCTTCAAAAATAGAAAAGGGAATATATGCAGCGGCTGTTTGGATTTTTAAAGCTGTGGAGAACAGAGACTGCGCCCAAGGGATGATACACTGCTTGAAAGCAAACAGAAGAATTGTGGGGAGGTGTTGCTTGGCCGTGTGTGAGGAGATTCTGGCTCCACTGACAGTGCGAGTGTGAATCAGGTAAACCTGGGATGTAGCTGGAAGGGCAGCAGCCTCAGTGTCGGAGGGGGGGGGGGGGATTTGTTTACACATCTTGTGCAGCCTGAGTAATTTACCTTAAAAGAATCAAAAAGGGACTGCGAGCAAGACGAAGTATCCTGGGGCAGTTCAGTGAATGCTGTGTGAATGTGGGTGTGGGGAGCATGGAATGAGTTGCCACTAACTGTGACCCTCATCACAAAGCTAACCGTGCTAGCGTTTTTAGCTGTGACCCTCATCACAAAGCTAACTGTGCTAGCGTTTTTAGCTGTGACCCTCATCACAAAGCTAACTGTGCTAGCGTTTTTAGCTGTGACCCTCATNGTGACCCTCATCACAAAGCTAACTGTGCTAGCGTTTTTAGCTGTGACCCTCATCACAAAGCTAACTGTGCTAGCGTTTTTAGCTGTGACCCTCATTACAAAGCTAAGTGTGCTAAAGCTATGACTGTCATTGTAAAGTTAATTGGGCTAAAACCTTTGGCTCTTCCAACCTGGTTTAATTTAAATATTCTCTTGGGAGGTGAAATAAAATATTTATTGTTTAAATGCTTTTTTGGTTCTAGCAATGTTTTTCATTTTCTCGAACAAATGTAAATATTTGTTTCAGATTTGTTGTTCCTCACACCTTATGTTAACATTAACGTTAATGTAGGCTAACATGAAAGCGATTTACTCAGAGCGATGCTTAGTAAGAATTAGCACTTAGCATATAGGCCCTTAAGCTGTAGTTCTTAGCTCCTAGTCCTTAAGCTTAGCTTGTAATCTTTAGCGCTCAGCACATAGCATGTCAGTGTTAGTGTTTGTCCCATTGGCTTTGTAGACATTCATGCTTAGCTATAACTCTCCCAGCAGTGCTCACCAGTCTGTAGTTTTTCTGTCCACTAAGGTCTAGCATCTGGGACATCAACAGTGAGCTGCCAACGCCTGGCTTGATGGCACCGTGCATCAGAGCCAGTTCCATCTGGAACTGTTGCAGCTTGTTTTTAGGCGGCGATCTTTAAATAGGTGTGTCTCCGCATTTTAACGCGTGAAAATGCACATAATGTGTACAAATAAGTGCAAGAAATCAAATGTAGGCTTCTGTTGCACGTAGTGGGGGAAGCATGGCGAGGAGGCGGGACCACGAAGCAGCAGCGGTGATGTGCCGACGTCTGAAAGCAAAAACGAGAACAAGCCGAGCGTGACAACATGTCGGAGACACAATGCTGCTTCAAGAGCCGGGATTTGAGTTTTGTTTTTTTCCAAGAGGATTTAAATGGATTCAGAAGCTGCGATTGACTTTTATGACAGATTACAGCAAACGGTGAACAAGGCCGGTGTGTGAAGCGAGTGTGCCGATGATTCAGCCGTGCAAATATCCTGCGTCCCTCCACGGATCCGCGGGCCAAACCGGAAGTCCGGCTTCGGATGCCTGCAATTCATGAGACGCCTGCATGGGAGCCGGGATCTTATTTATCGCAGTGGCTCGGGCTGATTGGCATTCGACCGTGGAGGCCTTGGTGTTTCACTGCAGCCGTAAAGACGGTATTATTTATTAGTGTCCAGGAATGGGGTAGACGACTTGGGGGTTGGGAACGCGGCCTTGGGTGTGACTCTAAACACGCGAGCAGCAGCAAATGCAGGTACCCACAGGCACCGTTAAGAGACACAGCCCGATCGCAAGGCCACTGCCATAATCGGCACATTCACTGCATTCTTATGAGCTATCGAAGAGACAATGATCTGCAGAAGTACTAAATCATGAATTGTACAAAGCTACCAGGAAGAAGTCTCAGATTACAAAAAAAAGCACAAAGCCTTTGAAGAAGGACATGGGCTGCTTTTCGATGATTTGTAAGATTAACAAGAAGTTCCAACCTGAAGCGGGAATCGTAAAGCTGAGCAAATAATAAACGAGGGCAAAGATTAGGTTAAGATGCAAAGAATCCTAAGAAGAGCTTTAGAGAAAAGGCATCAACAAGCACAGTAGACTTAATGAGATCAGAGACACAGAAGAACCTTCTCTAATGGAGGTGGAGGTCAGATTAGCCCCTGTGATACTGGTGAGAAAGGAAGGCCTTGTGGAAAGAGGCCATCTCAGTGCTATATAACATATCTGAAGAGGAATCAACATGGTGACCAAACTATGCAAATAAATAGGGAAATCAGCTCAGTGACTTGAAAGAGATTAGATTATATTGCAAAGATGAGTTAGAGCCTGACCTGACCAGCCTGGGTATAACGTTAAACTGCATCCGGCCCTCCAACTTAGAGGGAAAATGGGGGGATTCTCACCCCAGCCACTGTAAAAACTTCACACAGCTCTGAGAAAGCAGACAGGTGTCTTTTCTGCAGGCAGCTTGGAGGGAACATTCCCTGGGGGTGATCCGCTCGCAGGAGCCTCATTGCTGAGGACCCAAGCAGCTGGAGCAGGCCATGGGGCCACCCATCGTAACACCCGGCTGCGGCAGATGGAAGGCCATTTGCAGAGGGTGGGATGGGACTGTGTGTCAGCCTGGGGGGGTCACCAACAGGGATCCTGAGGTGTTTCGTTGTGTGGTGGGTGCGGCAATGCCATGTACCAGTGCGTGATCTTCAACCTGACCTGACCTGCCAATACGGCTGTTATGCTGAAGATCACTCCACTCGTGTGCCGGCGTGTGGCTCCGTGGGTCAGCAGAGTGATGTCACCATCGGGCCCTTGAGCAAGGCCCTTAACCCCCCGGGGTCTGGCTGATCTTACTTAATCAAAATGGACATTGCTTTGGATAAAAGCATCTGGTAAATAAATAAAATGACATTTTGACGAATTCTGGACAAGAAGCCAGAAACTGGATTTGGCCCTGAAATATGCAAAAATATTTGTTTTTAGTTTTGTGAAGTGGGTTAAGGTGTGTACTCTGTGAGAGGTGCATTTTGGGTAAATTTGTGAAACCTGCTCCCACTTCCTTGCAGGAAGCCCCCTTCCGCATCGCGCCGTGACTCGGGTGTCAGGTGATCTGGAGGGGAGGCAGCGGCAGACTGTGAAATCAAGAACTGCGTGAGGCGTCTCTGCACAGCACGGGTGTCAGGGCCGCAACAGCGAGTGCTGGCACTACAGATGCACATCTGCCACATGCATTATCGCATTAATATGACTCCCTGCTAACAGCGTTAAGAATGTCTGTGCTTTACTGGCCACTGCATTCTGGGTAGAGGAAACAGCGAGAATCCATCCTGATAGCAGCAGAGTGACAAACAGAGGGGTTCTCAAAGGAAAAAGTCTTTAAAACAAACATTTTACCCCACAGCACATGTTGTTACGCATTTACCTATGGCGCCTCACAGTGGCTGGCATCTGCGGCGACCTGCCCTGGCACCTGTCTTTCCCCTTGATTCTGGTCTGAACTTCCATTCTTTTTCCCAGCGGGCTCTGGGGCGATCTTGCTTTTCCTTATCGATAAGAGAATACCGGAAGGCTGATGTTGGGTCATGGCGGCCAATCGGCCGTGAGGCCTTGAAGAGGAAGGGTGAGTGCTTGTGCTTGGCTCCGGAGATGCCCGCCACTGGAGATGCCCGCCACTGGAGATGCCCGCCACTGGAGATGCCCGCCACTGGAGATGCCCGCCACCGGCTGCCAGGTTGGGCACGTGAGCAGGTGCAGAAACCCTCTTCAGACTCTGTGCCGGAGCTGATAAGCTGCATCTGACACGGTGATGATGAAGCAGAGTGCCTTCAGCCAAGATTTTCTTTGGATGGATGTGATTTTTATAGAATCCCACCAGAGTAACACAGCAACCTTTATATCTGTAAATGTCAGCTCAGATCGACTAAAATGAATATGAAAGCCACTTTCCTATTGGCTGCTTTTAAATAGCTTGACATCCCTAGTCGATTAGCAGATCCCCGCGATCAGGACGTCTGCGTTGGGTTATTCCGATGTTCCAATGTGTTGTTTTTTTCGTTTGATGTTTCCAAAGCATGTGACACGACTGAAATAGTTTTTAAAATCGATGTTTCTTTCCACATCGCAGGCAACCACAACAAAAGACATTTCAGTAATGGTTTCTCGCTGGCTGTAATTGCAAACTCGCACATTAGTGGAATTGCATAATTACGTGATGCTTCTTCTTCTCCTGCACGTCTTACTTAGATCAATGTGACAAAAGGAGCCGATTGCAGCCCAAGTGCACCAGTACGCTGAGTTATGCAATGGCTCCATATATTATTATTCAGCTTTGCCCGCGGCCGTGCAGACGGACCGACTACGGCGCTGGCCGGCTCTCACCGGAAGCTCCGTAGCTTAAGAGGCTTGATTTGCATGAGCCTGGGTGCTGAAAAGGACCAGGGTCCCAGCCAGGGGGCGCTGCTGTACAATCAGGTGGGGCGGGGTGGTGGGGGGGAGGGGGAGGTTGCTGCCTGTGTAAACATAAAATCACTCAACTGGAGCAACAGTTTAGTAGTTGGGATAAGAGTGGGTGTCAAACAGGGACCTCGATGATCCCAACCCCCCCCC